ATTCTGGGAGTTGAAGTCCACCCATCTTAAAGTTGCTGAGGTTGAGGAACCCTGACCTAGATGGCAAGATCCTTCAGTTCAAACAACCTCCCGCTGGCCTGCCGCCCTCCAGATGTGTGGGACTACAACTCCCATAGTTCCCAGCCAGAATGGAGTTGGTCGGTTGTTAAGAAAGGTGTTTTTCCCCAACCCAAGACTCTCCATGTGCACTATGATTGCAGCTCCCAGAATGATGAAACAGGCTGGTTAGGAATTTTCTCCAATCCACAGGGTGTCACATTTGGGGAAAAGGTAGCAAAGATTGATTGTTCTGATCCTGCCCACAAAGAACATTTAGACACAGGACTTCCTTTAGCACTTGGACCTCTTGTCCCTTTGCCTTTTTAAAAACAGTTTCTGCAGCGGCCCACTGTCTGCCAATCGGCCAGGAACAATTCAGAGACCTGGTTTGGCAGCATTGCCAGTGGAAAGGGTCAAGGCTAAGTAAACTGATCAGAAGCCGATTGTAACTCAGCAATGCAGCACGGCTGCTGGAAAGGGTTTGGGGGGAAAAAAACCACGAAAACAATGGTTCTACTTTAGTCCACACCGTTGGATCAAAGATAGCTTTGGACCCTGCATTTTCAGAAGGGTGGAAACAATCACAAGCCCAGTTCGCTTGGTGGGCCCCACGTTAGAGAAGACGGCTGGGCTTGCGTCATTTATTTATTTATTCATTTATTTGTAAAATTTATATAGCTGCCCATCTCACAAAACAAGTGACTTTGTTTGGGGGGAAAAAAACCACGAAAACAATGGTTCTACTTTAGTCCACACCGTTGGATCAAAGATAGCTTTGGACCCTGCATTTTCAGAAGGGTGGAAACAATCACAAGCCCAGTTCGCTTGGTGGGCACCACGTTAGAGAAGACGGCTGGACTTGCGTCATTTATTTATTTATTCATTTATTTGTCAAATTTATATAGCTGCCCATCTCACAAAACAAGTGACTTTGGGCCGTGTACAGCGAAGCTAAAAACAATTAATTAATAAATACCTAACTATTCGTATTAGTATTAAAAAAAGTTTAAAAACTGTAAAAAGCAAGCTAAAAGAGAAGAAATATTGGGCGAAGAGAAGTTAATAACAGTGTAGTCACCTCAATAACTCACCAGTCCTCTGGGGTCCCCAGGCTTGATGGCACAACCAGGCTTTGAGGGACCTGCAGGAGGTCAGAAGTGATGAAGCCAGCCTCACTTTGGGGGAGGATATTCCATAAACTGGGGGGCCACAGCAGAAAAGGCCCACCGCCTAGGACCCACCAAATGTAACTCTCTTGCTGATGGGACCTGTAGCATGCCCTCTCTGCTGGATCTGGTGGGACAGGCAGATGTAATCGAGGAGGGCAGTCCCTCAGATAACCCAGCCCCATGCCAGGTAGGGCTTTAAAGGTCCAAACCAACACCCTGAATTGGACCCAGAAACAGACTGGTAACCAGTGCAGCTCATGAAGCAGAGGTGTAACGTGTGTTCTACAAGAAATACACATAACTGCCCGCCCCTCTGCATTTTGCATCAGCTGAAACTTCCGGATACTTTTCAAGGGCAGCCCTGCGTAGAGTGCATTACAGTAGTCCAACCAGGAGGTGACTATGGCATGAATGACTGTGAGTAGAGCCCTTTAATCTAGGAATGGGCACAACTGGTGCACAACGTGAAGCTGTGCAAAGGCCCTCCTAGCCATGACTGCCACCTGATCTTCGAGCAGGAGTTGTGAGTGTAGGAGGACTCCCAGATTGTGTACGGGGCCTGTTTGGGGCAGTGCAGCCCCATCCAGCACCAAAGGTGGCATAGTCCTAGGACTGGTGGGCTCCAAAACCCAAAGCCACTCAGTTGTGCCAGGGTTCAGCTGTTTTTCCCCATCGAGACCCTCACGGCCTCCAGGCATTGGGATAAGACATCCATAGCATCACTTAATTCGCCAGGGACAGAGAGGTATAATTGGGTATCATCAGCGTATCGATGATACCTCACCCTGTGGCAACGGATGAGTTCACGCAACAGCCTCATTTAGAAGCTGAATAGGAGGGGAGAGAGCACCGAACCCTGCAGCACCCCATACAGTAGGGGCCAAGGGCGGGACCCCTTCTCCCCAGTCACCACCAACTGGAATCAACCCTGGAGAAAGGAGGTGAACCGGCATTAAACCGTGCTGCCCACCTCCAGTCCTCTGAGCCGATCCAGAAGGATACCATGGTCGATGGTATCGAAAGCGGCCATGTAGGGCAAGGATGGGTGCAGAACCCCATCCCGGCCATGCCAGAGAGTATCCAAAAGCACAACCGATGCCGTTTCCTTGGTCCGAATCCTGTCTGAAAGGGGTCCAGATAATCCACTTCCTCCAAGATCCTCTGAGCCTGCTGCGCAACCACCTTTTCAGTCACTTTCCCCAAAAAGGGAAGATTGGATACTGAGCGAAAATTGTCCAGTATGGTGGGGCCCCGCAATGGCTTCTTGAGGAGTGGGCGAACCAAGGCCTCCTTAAGAAGTAAAGGAACAGCCCCTCCCTCAAGGAAGAATTCACCACCGCTAGAACCCACTCGCATGACACCCCCCTGCTTGCTTTCACAAGCCAGGAGGGGCCTGGAACTAAGGAGCAGGTGGCTGAGCTCACAGTCCTGAGGACCTCGTCCCCTTCAAAATCATACGTTTTCCCTGGGCAGCGAACTGAACTGTTCCCTTCCAACCTCAGAATTTCTTCAATATGAGCATTAATCTTCTCTGAATTTCCTGGCATTCTCCCTTTCCCCTAGTATCCACTGGTGAATTCGTTTGATGTAATGCGGTATGGACCATTGACTTTTACGTCTGTCTTTGAATTGACATTTCCTCTCTATAGAATATCTCTGAATGTATTTTTCTTCCTTCAGGATCTTTGCAATGGACTCAAAGCCTTCCCTGTTAAATCCCACCGGACCGCTGCTGGTATCGTCTGCAATTAAACAAGGGCCAATGGATCTACAGCAGCTTCAGCACCGGGCAGCCGTCATACCACCAATGGTACGTTCTGGACAGGTTTGGAACATATCCTCTCCTTTCTTGTCAGCCTGGAAAGGATTTAGACCAGAGGTGTTGCCTCAGGCACTGTTTCTCAACCTTGGCAACTGTAAATTGTGTGGACTTCAACTCCCAGAATTCCCTAGCTGGCTAGGGAATTCTGGGAGTTGAAGTCCACACAACTTACAGTTGCCAAGGTTGAGAAACAATGGTCTAGAGATACAGGGACTTTAAGATGGGTGGATCAACTCCCAGAATTCCCCAGGCAGCATGCTTTAAGATGGGTGGACCAACCCATGCTGGCTGGGGAATTCTGGGAGTTGAAGTCCACCCATCTTAAAGTTGCCAAGGTTGAGAAATCTGGGCCTGAGGGTGTACTCAGCATTTCAAGATCGAACCCTGAGACTGAACGTTTCAGACTCGACATGTAACCCACTGGGGTTGTGCCCTGCCCTGCGTTTGGACAAAGCCCAGGCTGAGTTCCCCAGCCCCCAGGGCCATTGGAAGACACAAATAAGCAGGACACAGAGAAGAGGAGGGATGTCAGGCAGCAGTGCGGCCGAAGGAGAGATTAGAGTAGCCGAATAAAAGCCCTTGTGGACCATTTTTATTTATTCGTTTATATTTCAAATTTGTGGCTGCCTGTCCCACCCATTTATAGGACCTGTATATTATGAGGGGCACCTTCTCCCCATTGGTTCTACCCAGTGGCTGGGGAAGATGGGAGTTTGTAACTCTGGCCCCTCTGAAGGGCGCTGGGGCAGGGAAGGCTGTCTTCATGGACTGCCAGTGGGGGTGCTGAGTGACCCCACTGTGCCACCCCAGCTGTATTAGCAGGTCCGTTCCACCTTGCCTCTCACTTTCCCTGGCGATATACTTCAGCGTTCCTATCCTGTCGTAATCTAGGAACGACTGCCCATGATTCCTGGCTTCCCCACCAGCGGCTACACACTCCTCCACCAGCACATCAAGGCCATGCACAAGTCCAGCGTGCTAGAGGAGCAGCAGCGCCAGAGACAAGAGCAAATGGAGGTGGATTTCCGGAGGTCCTCCAGCCCCTGCGGTTCTTCCAAGAGCCCAAATGTCGAGTGGGATGGTAGGTGATGGAGCTCCGCCCAGCACCGTGTTGTGGGAAACTGCTTTACGCTGATCCTGACTAAGTCCCCAAGGCAGGAACAGTCTCTCCCATCTCCTGCGGTGGGATCCATTAATTCAGGAGTTGGGAGTATATAAAAAAATAGCTATGTTCTTAGCCTAAAGCAGTGTGTCTAAACCTCGGCCACTTTAAGACGTGTGGACTTCAACTCCCAGAATTCCCCAGCCAGCATGGCTGGCT